CCCGGGTACGATGGTGGGGAAGATAGCGCGGAGAGGAAGGTAAGGCAGACCGCGGGGACGCTCCGCGCGGGTCGCGCCTTCTGGCCCAACACGCGACGGATACTTTTCCGAGTCTCTCCTCCACTCCTCTCTAATACCTTGACGCGCCTTTCGACACAGCGACAGCCCGCCCATGTACAGTAGATATGCGAACATGCCTTTACCCCAAATCCGCTGTCTCAAGCTGAGACCCCAGACGAGCGCTCACCAAGTCGCTGTTTACCACCCACGCGCCTGCAATGTCTGCCATTGCCATTGCCAATGTTTCCATCCAAGAAGAACTATCCTGTTCTTCAAGCGACCTGTCTCTTCCTTCAGACTAAACTGTCCAAGGTCACCTTTGATGTATACCTTATTCGACACCATGATGGGACCCACTTGCAAACCACGGTTCCATTCCTCCATCTCCCATAGTTACGTGACTTTGAATTATGCGATGCTGATAAAAGGAAGACCCTGTTCCTTAACATCGGTCTCTCATATCATACCCGAACAGTTCGGCAATACCTACATCGCACTAAAGGTGAGTGGAACTGGAAGTCCTTGCAATCGGGTCAAGATCACGTCGGTACGCAGCAACCACACACCCAGAAGAGATGAACAGCCAAGTCGACTCCCCACTCGGACAGCTGGTTGAACTGTTCGGAGGACTGACCATGGCAGAGATCGGTTCCCACTCGACTCACACCACCCTGAGTGCACTGGACTCACTACCCTCGACTTTACCAACGGATAGCGCGCCATCATTAGCTTCAAAAGGCTTGTCAAGCCGAACCATCTCCTCAACCCAGTCAGAAGAGATGGCGTCTCCACCGAATACCAATCCGCATCTCCCTAACGAGCTGATTATCCAAATCCTCCATCACGCTCTTCATCTCCGCCCCGGCTGCTCCGTACCACTACCCGTGACCGCCGATCGATTTCAGAGCCATATATCTCGCAACGGTCGCTTGGCCAGGTATCTGGTTATATCCAAGTCACTCTATCCCCTCGTTCTAGAGGCTTTTTACCGCGAGAACGAGTTTCGATGCGCCTCACGCGGGATAACTCTGAAGGTGTTGATGGAAGATAAGCCTCGGGAAAGTCCTATCTTGCTGCCCCCGCCACATGCCAGACAGCATATTCGGCGACTGGAGTTGGTGATCTCTTTGGAACACTTTAGTCGGGATTTTACCACTTCATACCAGTGGCAGACACTCGTCAAGCTTTGTTCTGGAAGGGCCAGACTTACTAGAGTCGAATTCTTGCGCTTGGTGATAAAAGAAGCCCCGGGAATGTATTGCGGAAGAAAAACTGCTTTCAACCAACTGAGAGTTGAGGGTCTTGTGATTAGGGCGAAGAAAGAGGTGGTCATTGAAGGCTGGAGAGCGGCAAAGCCATTTATCAAGGTGGAGGCTGAGGTCGTGAAATGGATATAACAGTACGTCAGGAGTAGAAGTCTCCCTCACATTATTAGCAGTCATAGGGAACTTCAAAAGTAAGCCAAGAGTCCTTCAACGTACTATCAGCGATCGATCATGCACCTAATGCTTGAGCCTGAAGACATACGTAGCAGTGTAAATCATCATATTGAAATATGTCACAATAGCCAAGAGGTACTCACAGTAATCACAAGCGACATTCACGATGCACAAAAGCATGTTGGAGAAGACAAAGAATCTCATTCTGCACTACACTATGGCAATGACCAAGCCAGGAGACGACAAACCCCACCAACCACCACAAACAATTCACAAAGCTGCCCAGAGTCCGCTCAGCATGGCGCTCCTCAAGTCGGAGAGGCCAGCCTCGACGGTGATGTTGAACTCATCACGAGCGCCGATCATGAAGCGAGCCTGATGGTAGATAGCGACCGCCGCCTCGGAGTCGGGGTTGCTGAAGATGGGAGTGATGTGAAGCTGAATCGTCCTCAGATTCTGCATGGTCATCAGATCAGAGAGCTTCCGCAAGGTGTGGGCACTGCGACAGTGCTTGAAGAGGTCGACAGTGTTGCGGAAGTATATCCTGTTGTCGAGGATGCGGTCGGGCAGTACAGTCGGCTCTCCTGCGTAGCTGTCGGTGAGGACAAGCTGCACCCGGATATGGCGGAGGGAGGGGAGGAGGTGGACAGAGGGCATGAGTGGCGCGCGGTGTGATGTCTTTGAGATGAACTCGAAATAGTTTTCTTCGTAGAAAACTTGGAGAGCGACCGCCTGGAACTGGCGAGAGACGACGCAGAGCTTGTGCAGTATGCACTTGTGGAGCATGGCGAAGCGGGACGCGTTGATTGGCCTGCCCCGAGGCGAGACCGTGGAGAAGATGAGTATGTTCATGAGAATCATCTTGAGGATTTCGTTGGGGAGGACAACGCTCTGACGAGGCGCGGGCGTCACCATTGTGATGGTGTTTGGAGAAGACATCGTGCTTGTAGCCGATGTGAGTGGAGGTGATGAGGAAGCGTGTTGTGTTTCGAGGTGTGTGAGGAGGTTTGAAAGTGCTCGGAAAAAGAAGTTTGAAGGCGACTTTGTACTGGAGAAGTGAGGAACTTTCAGGCTGAGGGAACTGAAGGGAGGCAGGGGGAGGCCATCTTATATAGACAGAGGGAGACCCTCTAGCGTCTCCTCCAGAAGAACGGTACGCCGCTGAAGAAGAGCGAGGAAGTCTGAAGCTTCCTAATTCTGCAGAATGGAAGCATGAAGTCTGCGATGAAACCGGGCCCCTGTCCTGTTATATGGCCTCTGATTCGTTCTGGGGCTGTCCATTCTGTGTCCTTCACCGTACTAGTAGCCTTCATATTTGACTAGACGTCTTCTCTGGGCTCCGATTGGCGGCAGAAAGGCTACCGGAGACCTTCTGGCAGTATGAATGCTGCCTTGGCAGTGAATCAATCACTAGTGATGCTTCTTTCAGCGACGATGGAAGAAGAACGAATCGAGTATGTCCAGGACTAGATCTAAAAGGGGTAGGTGGCTTCCTTGGATATCCGTACGAGTCCGGCGAATCAAGACACTTAGACGACGGCGTGGCTCTGTTGGTACCAAGTGAAAGGGTGAGGGCTACGATGGTGGAAGGCCGAAGCAATCGCTGAGGTAGAGGAGCCTTCCAAAGATTGGGAAACTGACTTCCAGGAGGCTGCGCACGTCGATAAAGCTGTGCCATCCTGCAAGAAGAGCCCGAGTAGCGTCTGATGCCTTCAGTCTTGCTTTGCTTGCTGTGGAAGTGCCATGAAGCTGGCTGGAGACAGCTATGGCGTTCGTTTGTCAGGTTGTTCTTTGCGTTGCACAGCTGGCTGCGTCCGCGGGGAAGCTGTTACCAAACACCGACCACCAATATCGACACCGATATTTTGGAGCACCAGCTGCACCCCCAGTTGACGAAGCGACAGCACAGGAAGTGGGCCGTACCCATCGCATACTTCTCACGAGACGAACCAGACCTTGCCCACAGTCGTTGCCGATGCAAGCTGCCGCGCCTGCTCCTCTCGAACCCCGACGACCCTCCCCCATCTTCTCCGCAACGGCGGCGACAACGAGTCGAAGGAACTTGGACGAGATGACAAGAAGAAGACTGTCCGAACAACTGCACTGTGCAAGATAGGCCAGGTTACGAGACAAGAATGGTGACTCCGTGGCAAGAAAACTCTTCAGCTTCGGCGCAGGAAGGTATCGCAACAAGCCAACGAGGAGGAACATGCAAATTGGCTGCAGAAGACAGCGCGACGGCAGCATGAAGGCGCCACTTCAATGCTCATCGAAAAGAGATCCAGAGAGCAGGCCGGGCACGGGCGATACCAGGACATCATGTAGGCAAACCTCGGCGGAGAAGAGCCATGTGGACCTGGAGATACATTAGTCGTTGGTCACAGAGGACGGAATTTGGCAAATCACGTTAGAATCATGGCAATAGTATCAGAGACAACAGGTCGCAGTCGCCACGCTGCGCGGCAGGACACACATCAGCGGACGCGAAAGTCGAGGTCCAGGACTAATGGGTGCATGGGCGCATGGCACGCATACGAACAAGCTCGTGGTCTGCGAACCGTACCTCGAACGTACCCCAGGATATACACTGCTACATCGCCCGTAGAGCGCATTACCTTAGGGTAAGTTTCGGTATCAGGATCGCGATACGTCGAGAACGAGCTTGGTCGTACTGTCGTGTCGCAATACCGTGCGAGAGATCTGTAATTGTATCAGTTGAGGTCAATGAGTGCAAATTTCACAGGTCAATAGCAAGGCAGTGAGGCAAGGTGTTGGTGTAGGAAAGATGGAGGCCGTAGGCAGCTGGGCAAGATTGAACTTCCGCCTTGGTCTGTGCACGCTAGCATGGTCATCTCCGTCGCCGGCCATGATCGCTCCCAGTCATCTCCTACAACCTTGGCAATTACACACCGCTTCCCATGCGCGAAATCGACAATACATCGTGATATGCTATGACCAAGAGGTCCCATGCCAACATATCCTCCTCGCAAGCAGAACCTCCAGAGCGGCAGACGTCCTACGATGGGGAGCGTAGCGGAAGCCACGAGGACGGGGATGGCTCGTCGCTGAAGAAGCCGCGATCGTTCATGGCGACCTTGGTATGTGGTCAAGAAATGACATGCACTGCTCTGCTGACTAGAGAAGGCTTGCGACATCTGCAGATCGAGGAAGACGCGCTGTGATGAAGATCGGCCAAGATGCGGCTACTGTAGGAACATGAACTTGGAGTGCACGTATCAGGCACCACGCAGTACGAAAAAAGACCAGTCATTGACTTTGGCAATCAATGCTATCCGAAGACTGGAAGCAAAGATCGAAGACCTGACAACAGCGATCAATACACCAAAGCCGTCGTCTACATTACCACTTTCACCGGCAGGGCCTATCAACGACCATCAGTCACCTCACACCATCTTCTCACAACCAAGTCCAGGATATCACGTCTCAGCGATGACCTCTCACCACTCTCATAATGGCAGGCTAAGCATACACGAGTTAGCAATGTCGCCACAAGTCGTGGGATCTCCCGCCAAAAGTCCTTTCCCGGTGATGGAAGTCCAAGGCGCAGTAAATCTTTCCTTCAGCCAACATCGTGTCGCGCTCTGGCCGGCCATACAGCAAATACTTCCTAGCGGTTTCGTCACTGTCCGAGCAGAGCTTCCAGAGGACTACATAGTCGATATTGAGAACCGGCGAGCGCAGCTGCCGATACATATCGATCGTCCCTACGGCACTGTCCCTGAGAGCTGGCTGATGAGCCTCCCGCAATCGGCAGTCAAAGGCCTTGCAGATGCCTATTTTGCCGTCTTCCACCGTAACACGCCGATCCTTGACAAGTATCATTTCTTCTCAAGCACACTAGGCACAGCTATGGAGAACGAGTTCGGGTACGACGTGGAGTCTGCGCTGGTACTCAACGTGCTTGCCTTAGGTTGCTTAGCTGTCAAGGCTCACGAGGAAGGCGACTTTGCTCTTCCCTTGCGCCACTCTCCAGCCAGACGTGGCTTCGTGCACCCGGATTGGTACGAACTCGTTGCAGATGATCCACCGGGGCTCAAATTCTTCAATGAAGCAAGGCATCGCTTCGGCTTCCTCATGTGCGATAACGATGTTCAAGCAGGTCAATTTTACATGCTTTCGACCCTGTATTATGCTCAGATTCTCCGGCCTCTCGATTCTTGGACCACCGTGAACAGGGCGGCCCTCTGTTGCGCTAGCATTCTCACCCGCACGGGAGCGATTGACTATGACACATGGGAGGGCGATATGTTATCACGACTGTTTTGGTGTACTTTGATGTACGAAACAGTCATCACACAGGAACTGGACCTACTTCCGCATAGCGGCCTATTAGACTACGAGCCAGATACGCCTCTACCGAAGTTTACCCAATGCCCACGGCCAAAGACGTCCATATCGGGACTGCTTACCGATGAAGAGGACTCTTTCTTCAACTTCCACTTTCTCGCTCAAGCGGCCCATCGCATCATCCTGACACGCGTAAAGCAGAGCCTGTATACCTTTGCGGAGAAAGACGGTTACCCCAGCGCCAGTTTGACAGCAGAAATGCATCACCAACTAGAGCAGTGGCGCGCAAACCTCCCACCGTCGCTTCAGTTCTCCGACACCGACAACGCCAGTGACTCACCCAGCCCTGCACACGTCATCGCGAAGGCCATGCTGCGAAGCCGCTACCTCGTCGCAAAGTTCCACATTGGCCGTCCGTTCCTCTACAAAGCGCTGCATGCACCAGCGTTCACCAGTGATGCAGAGTACAACGAGGTGCGCGAGGGTCTGCGCGGTGGCATGTACTGGCCAACTACCATGGGTCTTTGCACGCAAATGTTGTCGGCTCTACCAATCAAGTTTGGGTGGTGTTGTCAGTGCTTTGGACAGGTGCTATTGTTTCACGCCGTAGCGCAGTCGCCAGACCCAAGATTACGAGAAACGCTGCCGGAAGGATGGCGCGAGTGGGTAGGTATCATGATGACCTTGATCGAGAGTTGTGCGAGAAGCAGTCCTGGTATTGCAAAGGACTACGAGCTATTGCGCTTGTTGGACGCCTAGCTCCAGACGTGTAGTATGGACACGCTCGCGAAACTCTACAGATTGCTGCTGCAACGTCAGTGTAGTCCGTAGGTATACAGCCAACATGATTAAATCCATAACAAGTTCGCGTGAGACCCTGCGTCACGCTGCCAGACGTAACACGGTACCACAGATACTCGAGCCAGGCTTTTGTCAGCCGTCGTCGTCGCATTTGGGCACTCAACGTACGACTAATTCTGCGTTTCAGCAAAAGTCAATTGCGAGAAGGTCGAGACGAGGGAAGACACGATGAGCCTTGTTTGCGGTTTCTAGGATGGTCATGTCTTATGCTCCGACTGATGGTGATGTTTCAGCACCGCCGCACCCGTGTCGATCCTGCCATCTACAGCCGAGTACGAGAGGCTTGCGTGTACAAAGTGGCTACTAAGCTGACTATCGTAAAGGCGCATGCGGCACCGGCTCGTTGGGCTAACCCAGTGCACGACACATTGCGCACAAGAACCAAGTTGTGAATACATAACAGGCCCATGTTTGCATCTCGAATACCCTCACCGCAGTCCCACAGGCGTCGACGCGGAGCATAGCACAGCCACAGGGCGCGCATCCCAGATCTCGGCGTTTCAGCCTTCCAGCCCTCTCCCGGCGCGGCAGCTAAGCCCAATCAGACGGTAGTGGCCCCTGCATTGCTTAGGGATGGAAGCAAGGATCTACCGACTGACACAACTGCCACTAAACTGGGGGCGTGTCGGCCGCCTCCTTTGAGGCAGAGGGACACTTTGCTTGTCATCCTGCCTTTCTTACCACTCCTTTTTGGCTCCCGGCGCAGCGCTTCTCCGGTATCCGCACACATTGCCATTTTTTGCGCACACCACCGTCTTTCCGTGGTGTCCACTACGCGACGCACGCTTCATTGCTGAGATTCGGCATCTTTGGGAAATTATTGGATTGGACTGGACCAACTGGATCTGGATGCAAAAGAGCGAGGGCGTAATACTCGATTCCCACGCGCAGGCGAACCGGATCGCATCCTAGGCCTCTGAACCCCAGAGGACGAGCCGCGACGATGGCCGACTACTCATACCAATCGCTGGCCAACATGGGTCCACAGGGGAGATGGCGGCGTGTGCTGTTGATTGCCATAATACCCATGGCATTGGCTCTGCTTTACTTCAGCTCTCCGTCATACGTGCCGAGCAGTCTTCGGGCACAGTACGTGTCGCGATCCCTGATCACTAGCAACCACTGACGAGGCGCAGATTCCCGCATACGCAAAATATTTCTCTCCCCAAAGACGACATCTCCATGGCGACGATAATAAAAGCACTCTACGGCCCGATATTACATCCGATCGATGCTGCCAACTTTACTGACGAGGACGGAGATATATACAGACTAGCAGGGGAACCGAAGTTCAAGAGCAAGTTGGGCAAGAAGGTGCTCATACTGGATATCGACAGTCGGCCGTTGACGGAAAAGGGCCAGCTCATGGACCCGCAATTGAAGTGGAAGGGCATGCGCTCGTTGAGTGCGGGCATGCTCGGGCATTACATGTTTGGTACGTTGTCGACCATACAGGAGGAGACATCCAGGGCCGTTCGGCACGTGGAGTGGACAACGAGCGACTCGGCTAACATCTGACAGCGCAAATACACGGCTACGATTACAAGTTCATCCGCGCACCCGATTACGCCGACCGGTGGGGCACCTGGGTCAAGGTTCCCATGATGAAGGAGGCGCTCAAGACCCACGAGTACATCGTCTTCATGGACTCCGATGTCATGTTCCACTACCCACATCTACCTCTCGAATGGCTGCTCAACTACTGGAACATGACCGACGATACCCTTGCGATGATGTCCATTGACCCGAACGAACCGCAAAACTACGATGCGAAGGGCAACCGATACTTGAACACTGGTTTCGTGATCGCACGACAGAGCAAGAGGACACAAGAGATGTACAAGGCCTGGGCGGAATGCCCTTCTGAGACCAAGTACAAGGGCTGCGCGCACTGGAAGACCGACTGGGCACACGAACAAGCTGCTTTCGGAAACTACCTGCGCTACGACTACGACCGACCGGACGACATTCGCGTTCTCCCCTGCGTCGAAGCCAACGGTGCACCCGAGGCTGCGAACCGAGGCGGTTGCAAGGGCGTCTTTGTACGACATTTCTGGGTTGACAAGGGCCTGGTGGCCAAGAACCTGGCGGACAGCGTCATGCAGTACTTCCTACCACGACTACACGAGGCGTACCTGGGCTCAGCGAGCGAGCACATTGTCGACGCAAAGGGCTTCAAGCTCGAGGGCGCGGAGCTCATCGAGATGACCGAAGAAGAGAAGGCAGCGGCCAAGAAAGGACAGGGCAAGAACCAGAAAGATGAAGGGTGGTAGGACGACTCTGAACTTCGCAACGGCCTTTGACCCTCACCTCGCGCTCGCGCATTGCATTTTATTTCACCAATCTTGCGCCATCTACCGCACGATCTTTATATAACCACCATATATGCCGCTGCTATTTCATGGCAGTACTTTTCTGTCGGCGTCTACAGGCGTCCCATGTCTTATCGTCATGTCTTTGTACAGCGATTTTTCAAGCATGTTACATCATTATATTAGACTTGGGTGGGACGGGCATCAAAGACGGCTTTCCTTGATCATGTATGAGAATTGTTAGGCAAGAATAGCCACTTGGAATACCACCTCTTTTCACGTTGTCGATTGCGTCGAGCAAATACGTTGGTGATGCACAGGTACGTCAACGTCTTTTGTTTACTGATCTGTATCGCAGATATCGTGTGCCGGCCGGGTACCTCCTTCCCTCTCGGCACCATGACGCACGCAACAACCCCGGGAACATCCATGGATGACGACGATCGACTTATCTCCACGAGCGTTACAAAAGCCTGGCAAGAACCACCAGCCTCGCGCAATACGCCACTGCACGCGCCTTCTGCTATCGCGATGCAGTGTCGCAAACGATGTGCAGTCGCATTGGTGCACTGCACCTCCCCCGCTCTTGTGCGACGCCAACGATAACGACTATATTGCGGCGTGGCACTTCGAGTGGAACGACTGGTTCGGGTTTAGATGGACGAATCTGCTCTGCAGCAGCCGACGTGAGGGCCGACGACATGGATGCATTCCATCTAGTCACGCTTGCCAGATCTCGTTCAGTCCGCAAGACCGGGTACTTTCCTCTGCACTTCACTTGGATGTCCCGTCGATGCAGACGTCATGAAGCATTCTATCGGCAGAAGATTGTTTGCAAGAAACAAAAGTTCCGGACACGTCGACAGCGGGCAGAAGCGGTCTGCTACCAGCTCCTCTCGTTCGGAGTCTGAATCATTGATCCCTCTTACAACCAAACCCGAGCCTCGAGCGATATCACAGAGCCTGTTACCCTATACTTTCGACCAGCCGGTTCAGAATCTATCGCGTCCGACGACCATAATATGACCACAATGTCAAGGACCACGCATTGAGAAACCAGATCTTTGGCTGCTGGCCCTTGAGCGCTCTGGACTAAGCAATGAGCAGTCACTAGTACTCCTCAGTCCGCCTACCGGAGGTGAGACCGAGCCATGGTCTCCAGTTCAGTTCGTGCAGGAAGTCAAAGATGTCACTCGCGACCGGTACGTTGAGTGCGAAAAGAGAGTATGGTTTGCCAAAACTGGAGGATACAAGGCCGTCATCAAACAACGGGCCGAGACGGTACTCATCGCCGTATTCGAGCTCACAGATTTCGTTAGCGAAGGACTAAAGTACGATGTCACTAGATACGGTGCGACAGCATGATCTATCATCACCTTTGGCCTGGGGGTAAGAACTGGTACTGGAATTGACTGCTCGTGATATTGACAATGGACATTAGCTTGTGCAGAACGATCTCGACAGAACACAATCCATATTCGAAGCTTCCGCTTTCCTGGCGGATCTCCTTGCACGCTACGCTAGTATCCTCCTGTCCAGCAAAACCAGCCAGCAATCCTTTCCAGGAACCGAATAGCAATGTCTATATGGCCGCTCTTATTGTTGACCCACGCCACCAATCTGCTGAAACACAAACCATTCCAAGTTCTTCATACCTCCACCACCTTTCTTCTGGTATTCAGGTTAAATTCTGAGCTTGACCATCTTGTGAATGGCGCCATGCATCGGGTCACTGGACCTGATCTCCGCGCTTGATTCATTCTCGAGCTTCAAAAACTTTGGCTGCAGCACAACAGTTGCTTTGTTTGGCAGATCAAGTAGTGCTCGTCGGTACTCATCGCTGTCACTGTTGATTTGTAAATGCAAGTGCAGAGAAGTGCTCAGTCGCACCGTCAATTCGGTGAGCTTGGGGAATCGAGTCTGCCAATCCTGCCCTCCTGCCTGCTGTGGCGCGTTGGGAGTAGCAGCTTTGTGGACAGAACGGGGACGGAGAAGCACCAGCCAATCGTTCTCAAACGACGGCTCCAGGCACTGTGTCGCGTTGTCAATGCGACGGTACAACTCCAGCTGTATCACCAGTTTGCGAACGTGACTACCGAACACAAACGGAGGGAAACGCCACTTGTCGTCAGCGCCCGGGGTAACGTGCCCCCAAGACACGCCAGAGCGCCGAACGACAAAGGTGTTGCCACTGTAGTACACTTGTGCGGCAAGGGCATGCATGCGCTTGTTGACGAGTAGCAAAGTTGGTAGGTTCAAACCTTCCTCGATGGCCTTGTGGTTCCTTGCCATGATGAACTTGTTGGTGCTGAGGGCGTACGTGAGGATTTGGACCTTGAGCTCATCGGGAAGGGCGTCGAAGCCGACGCGAGTGCCGCCGGAGGGTATGTTCTGAGTCATTGTTAGCGTTGAAAGAGGGAGTTAAGCAGATGAGGTAGCCGTGAGGTTCGGCGTCTGGTGTATTGTGGCAGAGAGAGAAGGAGCTGGCGATATGAGTTGTTGACGTGCCAACTAGTGCGCGCGTCATGACCGCGCACGCGACAGGTGAGAGTCAAAAGCTACGGTGACCAGGGATTAGGCAGCAACCTCTGCGTTTGCTCTACATGCTCAGCTCGCAAGATAACGTCACCGTCGATAAGAAAAGCGGTGTCAGAGCGGGTCAGTATAGTGGTAGACTTTGGTTCACCTCTCTTTTTGCCTGTTCGTATCAATCTAGACTTGGACTTAGTACGAACTAGAGCGATTAGTATGCTATCCATCACTCTTCGTCGTTGCCAGCAGCTTCCAGTGTTCAATGATATCGGTGTGCTTATTGCAATAGACACGCGCAATGCTATTGTGGCATTCCAGCGTCAGGTCAAGTTCCACCTCCTTTGCCTTGAACAACGTCTTTGTGTCAGCTAAGCACGCTCTCGTTTCCTCTATCAATTCAGGCGACATACAACAGTCTTCATCGCCTTCTGTGAGATTGTCATCATCAAAGAAGTGGAAGCTGAGCTTCAGAGTATGCAGGTTCGTGAATCCAGTTTGCCAGGCATTGTCGTGGGGTGCCGTCATGAGCCATCTCGATCTCACGATTGGTAAAGGCAGGCCTAGTTCGTTCGATTGTAATACGGGCCTTGTTGCCTGCAGCATAAAGGCCAAAGGTTGCGAATTGCACAGTAGTATATGTTCCAGTCGTGAAACATCCATGGTGTAAGTCTTAACGGTAACGCGTAAGTGCCGAATGATGCTTGCTATTTCTGCAGGAGGGTAACGAAAGGTGACTCGTTGGGACGAAGGAGACGGTTTCTCCTCGATACAGATTTCGAAGACATTGTTGTTGTAGTATGCGGTCCGGGCCAGCCGGTACAGTTCCTTGTTCCGCACCTCATAGATAGGTTCCATATGTTTGCGGAAGATGACTGTATAGTTACTGTCTGGCACGGGGCTTTCAGGAATGTCACCAACGATAAAGCATAAGACATAAATTTTCAGCTCCTCGGGAAGGTCTGCCCATTTCCTGAGCGATGGAGACAGTGTTGCTGTTGTGATGCCGTCTTGATCTTGCTGGGTCATTGTCGGTATATGACAACTTTGGATCTGGTTGTGACTCAAGGTCAATGAGCATTTCTTATACCATAGCTAGAAGTTTGCTCCTGTATGTCAGCAGGGCATATAATCTGCGGAATGACTGTGACCAATCCGCTCAGACTTCATGCTCAATGTCAGCGACCCTTGGCACCCTATGTAACCGCAAGCCACAGAAGCTGGCGACAAGCTCGATCTATGCCTGGTCAGTGCACGTTACGAGACGGAGGTTGACTGCTGTCTTACACATTGCTGGACTGTCTCCACGTCCTCCTTACAGACGCCGATGCGCCTTGTCCCGCGCAAATGCCAGGCTGTTTCTCTCGGCAGATTTTGTATCATGATGCCGCTGAGTACGGTGAGCTCGGTCTCGACATCGTTGAGGATGCTGTGATCGGATAGATAGAGGCCGTAGGTGATTTGCTTGCTCGTCCAATCTATACTGCGTTAGCTCAGGATCAGGAAGCGGCCAGGGTCTACATACCGAAATCCTTCTGTGATGCCAACACGTTGTCGATGCCCTCCTGGTTGTGCTGGTACAAGCGACCTTGCCATGCTGCACCACGTTTTGAGTTGGCTTCGTCACACTGCCATCCCTCTCTGTTTGTTGTCAGCTTCCGCAATCGCCTGCTGACGACGCATGACTTCATACCTAGAGAATGTATAATCCTTGTCCTCTGGCCTCGTAATGGCATCGATATCGAAGATGGCTTCCAGCGGCTTGCACACGCCTACGATGACGATGAGCTTGAACAGTGTTTCTCGTATCCTCCGCATCAACGCCTGACGCTGTTCGGGTGTTTGGTATTCGGGTCGCTTGATGAGTTCCTTGTAGAGCAGAGGTGCGAAGCCCGGTTGCCCGCCGCCTACCATCGCCGCGAGCTATAATGGCTTAGTCAATGCTCTCATCTGTGTATACAAGACATACCATACCAGAAGAACATACCACTTGTCATCTCCAAGTGACTGCGATGGGAACTTCTCCTCTATGGCCTTGAACAGGGCTAGAGCTTCGTCATCGGTTGGGTCGCGAGGTATCGGACTAGTACTGGTCGACATGGTGTTATTCGTGCGATCAAGGCGGAGTTCGAAGTAGGATGTTGCGCCTTGCGGGATGGTTGCTGGCTGTCGTCATTGCGTGTTCCGATGGTCGGGATGGACAAGTAGGACCGATCGCGACTGCGACGCGTCTTCGGAGGGGCGCGTCGCGCTAAAGCGGGGTAAACCTCCGCCCATCACCACGCCCCACGGAGAAACGCGTCTTTCCCCGGGGGCAGCTGTTTCTCTCAAACCACCCACATGCACTCGAGAACAAGGCTGTGATATCTGAAAACTAAACTGGGGTGGTAGGCTCATTTTGAATCAAACATGAATACAAGCGCTTCGTGCTATCACCTTCCCAATGACAAGCCAAAGACTGTCATCATCACAGGTGGCGCAAACGGCATCGGCGCCAAAACAGCCCGTACCTACCATGACCATGGCTGCAATATCGTCATAGCTGATCTCCCTTCCTCCAATGACGCTGCCAATGCCCTCATCGCATCTTTCACAGAGCCATCACGGGCCCGGTATCACCCCACCAACGTCACTAGTTGGCACGACATACAAGCTCTCTTTCGAGAGACGAAAAAGACGTTCGGTCAAATCGATATCGTTGTCGCGAATGCAGGGACAATGGAGAGTAAGGGGTTCTTTGACTTCGAAGAGGACGAACATGGGGAGTTGATGGAGGCGACTGAAGCTGGCAGGGTCATCGACATCAATTTGAAGGGCACCATGAACAGTGAGCTACATTGTCTCACTAGTACTCTCCTGGTCTATCTCTAACATTAGATAGCTCTCCGAATGGCTATGCATTCCATGAAATCAAACCCACCGGACGCGGACGGTGCACGAGGCTCTATTGTACTTATCGCCTCAACGTCCGGATACTTTGGCGGGACTGGAGTAGTTTCATACATTTCTTCTAAGCATGGCGTAGTGGGCTTATCACGAGCTTCACAGTCCGTTGCCCGCCAGCTAGGCGTCCGCGTCAATGTTGTTGCACCCTTCTTTACCCCTACGCACATCACCTCGGGTTACTCAGAGAAGTGGAAAGAGAGTGGTCTACCTGCGAACACAACCGAGGATGTCGCTGATACCATCGTGTCTACAAGCGTAGATCCTGCAAGACAGGGTCATAGTATGATGGTGAGTTGCAATGACTCGATATGTGGCGAAGAAGTAGTGCTGATCGAGTCACAGGTTGCAGGCAACTTGGTCAGAGAGATCGAAGAGCCAAGAACTACGTCAACGAAAGATTGGTTAGGAGAAGAGATTTCTGACATCATGACGAGAGGTGGCAAGTTTTTCAATGATTTGGGCGGTTACACGCTGCCCCAAGCACGATCTTGAGAGCTTTTGCGGGCTTATCTCACGGCCCACCTCACACAAGGCAAAGCTGAACAGGTCTACAGGCTACATGTAACCAAAATCTTGCAAAGTAGGTGACCTAACGTCAGCCTAGGCTCTAGGGTGTTCAGCTTCTCCTAGGTTGGCGTGGGCCTGTGATTTAGTGAAAGCTCGAGCAACATGCTGGCTGCCACCGCAAGTCTGCACTCATGTTATACCACTCACTCCTGCAGGCTTACTCTTAATCCCAAGCAATTTTCCCCTAAAAGCTGTTTCCACTCCACCACTATCGACTCAACCAACCCGGCCTCTCCGCATTATGGAACTAAAATTGGTCGTTCAACCCAAACGCTCTATCAAGCGCTTTCTCGCTCGCTTCAGTCTTCCCGGCATCAACAGATTGAAGAAGTCGATTCGGTCCAAGCGCTCCATCGATTATTTCCTAGCTCTTCCAGATGAGCTTAAGTTACAAATTCTGCGCCTAGCTCTACCCAATCGACAAAAGTTTCGGAGGTCGTGTCACTGTCGAATCCGCGAGTCCTATACGCACGATGGACTCGCCTGTTACAAAGACTGCTGGCTAAATCTTGTGCGTGCAATCCCTGGGATGGCCGGAATGATCTATGAAGTTTTCTACGGTCAAAACACCATGGTCGTTTGCAATCCTTTTGCGATGGAGAATCGCGCTTTTCCGCCGCACTCAATCAATAAGTTTGTTCGGCATCTCCATATTAACATCACACTCACACTCAAGAGTCTGAACTACATATCTCGGCTAGCTAATGGCGATATGGGGTTTCCAGATCTACGCTCCGTGGAGATAGACATCGATGGTCGTGTTTTGCCGTACCTCCGATCGTCGGTAGAGGCAACCGAAACACTGGACCTCACGGACGACGAAAATGAGTTCCCGCCCGCAATCGAGGAAATGCGACACTCTCTCAAAGCTATGGCACCAATGCTTTTCCACACGCAGAAACTAAAGATCACATACAAACATGCCTGGCTTACTGTCACGGACCCTGTATTGATATGGATACGTACCCAAGTCTGCGATCCTGTGGAAGAGCTGCTATTGCAAAAGATTGCGATAGCTGAAGCTCAGAACAGCGATGCGAAGTTATGTCGATACTACCGCTCCGGGGAATCGCCTGAATCAGAGAAAGAATACGTGGATACGTGGCCCGAGAGAGAAGCGGTGGGTATACCTTTGTCTGACCGTGGCTTCGGGCGCACTTCAATCAAGCTTCTGATCAAGTAGATGAGAAGCTGAGTATAGATTTTGAACCGAAGTCGGCAGTGAGGCAATACCCCTGTTCGTTCTAGTATACCTACACACCGCCTTCGGTAGATAACTGCTGAGCTTGAATAAGTGTATATAACAACTCATTGGGTTCGTGATAAGAGTCACTGAATTGCCTCGTACGGGAACGGTCAAATAGTCTGTGACGACTTTGAATACCTCTAATTGGATTTTGACACCTCATATCTGGTTTCATGCTCCATAGCCCTACAGTCATGACATCGAAGTATCGTCGCCCGCGTCTCTCCACGAATCGCCTCATTCAATAGCAACGATGAGCTATCTGACTTGGAGATGTGCTCGCCCTACTTAATCGTTATCTGTAACACGTGGGTGTACTCGAACAACTCGCAGACCGGCCCATAAGGCCACACCGCGTCTTCGTCACCTTTCAGTATGGAGCCATCTTTGTTCCTATAGCAGCTATACCTCTCCGAAACATCCTCGTTTGTTCTTCCCTCGCTTAGGCTGATCTTGCTCAGTATTTTGTTTGCGAATGCACCTAGTATGCTTGCTCGACCCGACAAATCTCTCCAGCTGTCTCTGTAGCCTACGTTATCAGCATATGCGCAAGATACTGAGATGGTCTTGAAAGGGAATACGATAGACTCCATATTCTTTAAGACCACTGCGACATGCGGTACTAGAGGCTCGCTGGACCGACGTGTTAGGAGTGTAGGTTCTGTCGAGATGACTTTCATCCTTGCGGCCGTAAGTCTGATATCGATTTCGACGAGCTTCTCGAACCCAAGCTTCCCCGTCGCTAGCTGGCGGAGAAATTGTATACCCTCCTCAGTCATGTGTATGCGCACGCATAGTCGCGGAATTAGCGCGTTTATCCACCCCGGAGGGTATGGTATGCCGCCACGAGGAGAGGTCGTTATTAGGATCTTATTCTGTTTCAACAACACGTCGTATACCAAATACTTCAGTTCTGGAATGGCCATCAAGAGTGGCAAGACTTGTTTCGCGAAATCGAAGGTATGGAGCTGATTTCTCTCGAAATCCGGGCGAACAAAGAATTTGTTGGAAGGTAGGTACTCAGACAGTACCATCAACTTGATCTCGCCCGGTAGAGCGAGGAGAGGGGGGCGTGAAGTGGTAGTTTTGGGCATTGCCTCGACCGGTAATGTGACGAGACTGGAGCACCGATTCTGCTGGGCTTTGATGTCTGCTTGCTCCGTAGTATCGTCGTTTTGCTTATTCTTGTTCAGGAACTTGAGATTAGAGTTGATAGTTGGGTTGGTCATTTGTGAAGAGAACAAGCAACGCAATGGTGACCAGTCTTATACTAAGGGCGGTTGAGGAGCGTACGAATTGCAGTAATACTGAGGAGTACATTGACGAATCTATTTGGCGGGTCGTAGCTGCACGGTTGTTTAGGCTCCCGCGTTGGCAACTACGTACTGGCTCATAGCACCTAAGCAGGGACTCAAAGAGACACTGAGGCAGACGCTCATCCAAAGCGGTTCTAGCGTAATAGTGAATGCGATGCGCGGCCAATACCGCCTACACCGTTGTTGCGAATGTCCATGACCCGTGATGGTGCGATAATTTTACGGACGTGTGGTCGCCTTTGATCGTATCGGTTATGTCGGGGGATTTGCGCATTGAATGACCGATGCTATTGGGCGATGTGTAGGAGTAATAGACTTCACGAGGCGATCACAGGGTTCATTTTCGTCTTAGTAATCCTCGAGCGAGCTTTGGCCCGGTGACGTTTTCTACAACCCTCGGCAATACCCACCTTCTATAATCTGTCCAAACGCCAATTGAAGCCTCACGACAGAGTATCTACACCATGGCGTCCTCAAGACTAGTTGCTCGCTCATCGCGCGCTCTCCTCTCCCTCCCGCGCACCCAATGCCGCACATTCAGCATCTCCACCCTCCGTAGCAATGAGTTTGAAGCTCTCAACAAGCGCACAAACGACACCTCCGAGACGTACCGCAAATATCAGATCGAGAGACCTCTGAACCCTCACCTGACCAACACCACATCTACCATTGCCAATGAGATGCCTTCAATTGGCAACGACGCAGCCCCGCCCGAGTTGATCACCAACGCCGACGCCAAATTCGCACCCAAGGATTCTGTGCCCGAGAACACCGAGCGCATGACCGGCGGGACACAGGGCAGCAAGGATCAGGACGTCAGCGGAGCGAACAGCGAACTGGGTGTTGGCGAGATGGAGGGCGCCAAGTTCAAGGTCGAACCTATCCGCAGGACTGGCGAGGACGCGAACACCATGCGTGCGAGGTTATTATGTCCGTTCATACACTGCCCATTCCCTATTCCCCATGAAATACGCGATTTGGTGACCAGGACGAAACATGGCTAACGCACAATCAGATCAGAGCCGCAAGAGGGGAACCCTAGAAAGTGATCTCCTCCTCAGCACCTTCGCCGACGCCCACCTGAGTACCATGTCTCCCTCCCTGATGCAGCAATACGACACCTTCCTCGACGAGAACGACTGGGATATCTACTACTGGGCGACTCAAGAACCCACACCTACGTCTCACGAGACAGCTGAGGGTGGTGGCGCTGCTATGTCCAACCCCAATGCACAGGGCATGGACGCGACGGCACAGACAAAGCTGCCCGAGAAGGACGAGCGCAAGAGACAACCCGGCGAGGGCGAGTGGGCGCAGACTGTTGGAACTTTCAAGCCCGCATACAGGCCTGTGCCTAGCAGGTGGAAGGGCAGCGAGATCCTCAGCTTGCTCCGGAAGCACGTCAACGAGCGCAAAGCGGGAGGTGTCATCGAAGGCGAAGGCACCACAAAACAGGAAGGAAAGGGTCTCGGCATGATGCCTGAGATCAAGAACTTCGACCAGTAAAGCAGAAATCGCGCCTTTGTCACCATATCCTGCAGGTTTGCTGTATAAATAATGCCCACAACTGCCCCCATGCTTTCTCTCCTGCACGTCTTCGGTCTGTTTCACTCACAGACCATTTGCGCACTTCTTCCAGGATCCTTGTCACAATCGTGCCACTTTCAATATGAACAAACTCACCCAGACAAAACATCATCCCCAAAACCTCTTCCCATCACTACGAGGCTAGCAAGGCGCTCATAAGCTACTTGTTCCGGAACTCGTTCCTCCGCCCGCTCCCACGTGTTCCGCGGCATCCTAGGCTAGATTTCCTCCGGAGCTTTTCCAAGGTTATGTCATTACCCCGGCCAACTTCCCCACACGGCAAAGCTCGCTTCGGTAGTTCATATGTTTCGAAACTGCGCTTTGTATAGTGGCACCGGGTGTTATTGGAGGAAGTACTATTGTTCATGCATTTTGTTTAGTGTTCTGGTGTCACGTTCAGATGCATACAGCTAACGGTGCAAATTGGAGGAGGGGATGCGTTGCCACATGTAGAGGTTTGTCCGTACTTCTAAAACGCCGTTGATCAGTAACAGGTTACGGGATGTTCTCTGGTATATAGCTGCTGTATCCTTGGAAAGGTAAGGGGCATCTATCTCAGTATCGATCACTCTCCCTCACGATGCGGTTCACGTCCCTTCTGCTCCTCGCCAGCACGGCACTCGCAGCGCTCCCCTACAAAGGCGTAGACTGGTCCTCCCTTCTGATCGAAGAAGCAGCCGGTAAAAAATACAAAAATGCTGCCGGCACCGTCCAGCCCCTCGAAACCATCCTCAAGAACAGCGGCGTAAACACCGTGCGCCAACGGATCTGGGTGAACCCATCCGACGGAAACTACAACCTCGACTACAACATCAAACTCGCGAAGCGCGCCAAAGCAGCCGGTCTAGGCATCTACCTTGACTTCCACTACAGCGACAACTGGGCGGACCCAGGCAAACAAGTCGTGCCTGCAGCGTGGAAGTCGCTGAACCGCGAAGCTCTCATCAAGCAAGTCTACGACTACACAAAGAACGTACTCAACACGTTCGTTACCAACGGCATCGCCCTCAACCTCGTCAGTATTGGCAATGAAATCACACCCGGACTCCTGTTTCCCATTGGCCAGCTCTCCGGTACCGATGGACCGAAGAACGTAGCTGCCCTGCTCAAATCTGCATCCAAAGCTATCAAAGAATCGACGATGAGCCCCAAACCCAAGATCATGATTCATCTGGACAATGGCTGGAAATGGGATACGCAGCAGTGGTGGTACGACGCCGTGTTGGGATCGGGTGGCGGGCTATCGGCTGCAGACTACGATGTCCAGGGCGTGTCTTACTATCCGTTCTACAACAGCGCTGCTACACTGTCTGCACTCAGTACGAGTTTGAACAATATGGCGAAGAAGTACGGTAAGGAGGTTATGGTTGTGGAGACCAACTGGCCAAGTTACTGCCCTAACCCGTCGAATGCATTCCCCGCGGACGTGAAGAGTATTCCGATTAGTGTGGATGGACAGACGCAATGGATGAAAGAAGTTGCGAAGCGTGTGGCTGCTGTGCCTAATGGCAAGGGTACTGGGCTATTCTACTGGGAGCCGGCTTGGATCGCGAACCCTGGGCTGGGCAGCAGCTGTGGGTGGAATCTGATGGTTGGTGACGATGGTAAGGTCATGAGTAGTTTGGCCGTGTTCGGCAGCATATGAGCGACATCGCCATTCTCCCGAACACTATGGGGCCTACATTAAGATAAAAACATGCAAAGTAGGTGACCTAAAGTTAATGTAGGCTCTAGACTTATTCAGCTTTTTTCTTGCATGAGGTGCGAAGCTGTAAATGTTGCGTACGTTAGAAGTTCAAAGACACCACGTGTTGGACATTGTGACAGCCCCCACCTGCACGTTCTGTGACATCAGCCCACCTTTGAATCAATATGAATGGGCAATACGTAAAGTCAAAAGATGTAGTGGAGACAGCAGTGACGTCGATCAGAACATACTCATGGTCAGAGCCATCTTTGATGTTTGGGTGGTTTCATTTGAGTACATAGCAGTAAAGCAGTGCGGACTCCTTTCCCTCCCGTGTCAAAAAAGCAGCCCAGTCCATTCCGAATGTGCAAAGGAAGATGTGTCAGGGTTCGTCATGGCATCATATCCTTCCGCTAAATGCCTTTTCGTAACCTCATTGCGCCCGCAGCAAAGTATCAACCTACTGCTCCTCAGAGTAGCCCTCACCACCAGCTGGCTGGGCCTCGCCCTCGCCCTGCTCGGCCTGCCTGGCCTGCTCCGCGGCTTGCTGAGCAGCGATGGCCTTGGCACCGTAGTCTTGCGACATGGGCTGGACAACGGGCTGCTCCTCCTTGGGCTCGATGATGGTAACGGAGTCGGGAAGAGTCTTGGATGGACCGGCCTTGCCCTCGGGGTCGGAGCCGCGCATGATCTTAACCTTGATACCGAGCACACCCTGGCGGAGCAGGACGTGGCGGGTGGCGTGGTCGATAAAGTCCTTGGCAGGCTGACCGGAGTGGATCATGAAACCGTCCTAGATAACGTCAGTATGTCATTGCGATGCGTCCAACGTGTGTGTACGTACGGTGAACTTCATGCTCTTGGCACGGGCGGCCCTGAGCTTTCCGGAAACGACGACCTCGCAACCCTTGGCGCCAGACTCCATGATGAACCTCAGCACACCGTAGCAAGCCCTTCGGACGGCCAAACCATTGAGAAGCTTGTATCGGAGGGACTCGCACTGGGCGACGGCGGAGAGACCACGGTTCTGGACCTTGGCGGCGTAGAGGGAGACAGAGTTCTCGGGGAACTTGAAGCGCTTCTGGATGAGCGAGGTGAGCTCACGGATGCGGCGACCCTGCTCTCCGAGAACCTCCTGGGTGTGTGTGGCGCGGATGATGATGTCGGTGACGGTGGGGGTGACGCGGACCTCGACGCCGGAGTAGCCCTCCTCGGCCAGCTCGCGCTGGAAGAACTCGTTCAGCTCGGCGTAGAAAACACCGTCTGTGAGGGGTCATGTTAGCGACCGTTCTGTGCGCAATGTCCCGCGATCCTCGCATTCGACGTCCTAGGCTTCGCAGGCTCTTTGCCATGCAGCAACACCAATGATCGCCGTGTCCTTCTATTCTCCGTCTACTGCGTGTGGGAAGGGCATATCGTACCAGCTACGAACTTTCTCCTCTTGGAGCTGCAGGCCGTCAGTACTCATTCCCGATTGCGCGTCATGGAGGCGTCCGGATAAACTCACATGGTGGTTTGAGTGGTGGCCATTTTGTCGAACTTTGGAAGGGCGTATCTGAACTCCGGGCGTGGGTGTTCAGAAAGGTCGAGCCGTTGTTGAAGTCGTAGTTGATGGACTTGGGAATCACAATATTAAGCG